CGGTCAGTGGTAATTCTTGCTGCTGCTAAACCTCTTGGAACTATATCACCCATCCTGAATCGAAAACTGCATTTAGGAGGTTATCAGGCAGCATCAAAAACGCAACAAAAAGATGGGGCTAAAGTGGTAGCACCTAAAACTGTTGAGGTTTCAGATGCATCACAGCCATTGGGTAAGCAGTCACAAGGATCTGGTACTAAGCCTCCTGTGCCACCTAGGCCACAAATTAAGCCTATTTTGTCTACTAGTGATAGCCAAAATGTGTTAGAAACTGCAGGTGTATGTTCTGATAAACCAGAGAGGCCACCTCCACCTGCAAATAATGGAGAAAAATCTACGGAGAAGATAATTAAAATTAGTGATCAGATAGAAGACCCAGCAGTATCAAAAGTAATAACAGCACCAAAGCAAGATGCATTAAAAGATGGACTTACAGAGAACGCACGTAGTGGTAAAGATAGTGATGATCATCGAACGTGGGAGTCACCAGAAATTCCTTATAAAATCCGTCAGGGCCGATGGCCGATGACGAGAACATCCTCCTGTCTATTTGAAGTAGAAAAATACCATAAGTACCTTAATGTTGCACTGTGGTGCAGAGACCCTTTCAAAGCAGGTGGTTTTATCTGCTTAGGATATGCAAGCATAAAACTTGAAGAAATTGCTTTAGATTGTCTAGCTACATCCTCGATGGAATTTGTTAGGAAATTTCAACTGGCTGCTCCTACACCTAAAGCAGCAGTCACCAGAACAGCGTTGCGGAGTTTGACAACCCATAAAGGTTTCAATGAAAAATTTTGCTATGGTGATGTAACTTTACAATTCAAATATTTAAAAGAAGGTGAGATGGATGATTCAAGCTTATTTCTGGAGAAAGAGAGGGAATGTCACTTGGAAGAGGAAGCTCGTGCCCTTCAGAAAGAGGATCCTTGCTTGGGACAAGTTCTCACAGACAACAAGCATAACTTTCAGGATACTCAGTTTCAGAATCCAACTTGGTGTGATTACTGCAAAAAGAAAGTATGGACTAAAGCGGCTTCGCAGTGCATGCTCTGTGCTTACGTTTGCCATAAAAAATGTCAAGAAAAATGTTTAACCGAGATGCCCTTTTGTGTAGGAGCTGAAAAGCGGCTCGATCGAACTGTGGGCAGCAGCAGAGCGGAGGGACAGGAGGCTCCTGCAGCCGCCTCCTCTCGGGTTGATTCCGAGGCCAAGTCCGGTAACAGAACTACAGGTCTGACCAGGCATATCATCAACACGAGCACGCGCCTGCTGAACCTCCGGCAGGTGCCCAAAAGCCGCCTGGCCGAGCAGGGGCCGGACGTGGCCGAGCCTTCGCCAAAGCACACCCCGAACACGTCTGACAACGAGAGCAGCGACACCGAGCTCAGCGGGCCCAGCAGCCCCTCCAAGCGCGCCGTGGGCACCGGCATCAAGCTGGTCCGCAAGGAGGGGGGCCTCGACGACAGTGTCTTCATTGCTGTTAAAGAAATCGGGAGGGATCTCTACAGAAGTTTACCCACAGAGGAGCGTTTTCACAAGTTGGAGTTTATGTTGGAAAAGCTGCAGAATGAAATAGACCAAGAGCTGGAAAACAATAATTCGCTGGTTAAAGAAGCAAAAGAGACAAGCGAGCCGAGGAAAAAAGCCCTGATTTCTGCTGCGCTGGCTAAGTCGGGTGAGAGACTGCAGGCCCTCACGCTGCTGATGATCCACTACAGGGCAGGCATTGAGGATATAGAGTCCCTGGAGACCTTGTTCTTAGAGAAGCAATCCAAAAAAGTGACTAAAGATTCTGAGGAATCCAGTATAGCAGAAGAAGTGGATAGCGAAGATGGCAGTCTGATGGAGGCTCCAACATTGAACATCATATCAGAAGAACCAGTTGATCCACCTCAATCAGTAGACTGATATTTACATATTTAGTCTTTGAAGGAATGGACTAAAAGAATACTTTGCACTTAGCTCCAAACACACACAAATTAAATTAAAACACTGGTATAATGTGCGTGTCCTGCTTCTCCACAGTTAATTGCTAGTAGTGGTTCTTCTCCAGCTACAGCACCATCGTTCTGTTAAACCAGCTGGTTAAAACTACACTTTGGGGTTTATATTGGAAATTTATTTTTAATAACTTATTTTTATTTTTTCTAATTATGTAATCTTACCATTTCACATCAATGTGTGTGGTTTCCTTTAATGTGTTACTTGCCCCCAGTTCCCCTCTCTGTATTTTTTGGGGTTTTGTTTTGTTTTTTGGGTTTTTTTTGGTTTTTTTTTTTTGTAGTGTTTTCAATGGGAAACAGGCAGGGTTTTCAAAATGTTTCGTTTCCATTGTATGATGAAAACATTATAAGCTTGTTGCATGCCTAAGCTGATGACTGACACAGAAGTCACCGAGGGGCCAGGCTTTTAAATGTTGATCAGTTTTATTGTATGTCTTCTAGGTAGTTGTATATTTTTTGCCAAACATATCATGAAAGCAAACAAAAGGTCTTTCATTTTGTCTGTTATTAATACTTACTGAAGTTACCATTGCATATCATTTGTTTTCCATGTTTTTGTTAAATACAAGAACTTTTTGTAGTTTGTATTTAACACAAAATGTAGTAATCCTATGCTAAAAACTAAAAATCCTCCTTAGAACTTTGGACTATTGTTAGATATCAAAGTATAAACTGGTATCTCATAATACTTTAATTGGGAATATTTTGAAGGTAAGAGGCTCATTGCCTTCCAGAACAAAATCATATGTTTGTGATGTTGTATTATCTGCTAGCCTGATAAAGGAAAGTTGTTCTTCACAAGAGTTGGAGGTTTCATTGCCTTCTGTGAAAAAGCATGTAATGATGGTGTAAGTAATATAAAGAAATTAATATTTTGCTGCAGACTATCATTTTGGAAAGCTTAAGGTGCAAAATACAAAGTAACTAATGTTCTCTCAACATTTTGAGTAATCTTAGAGTGGTAAGTTGCATTCAGCTTCTCAGACAGAAGATAAGAGTCTGAGCAGAAGGATCACCTTTGTCAGCAAAATGTCCTATAGTGTATATAACATGTTTTATTTGAGTTAATTTGTGAGTCCAGTAGAGATGAGGAAGAAATTCAGCCAGCTGCTTTTGAAAAGAACTGTCTGGTCTTGTGCTATGTGTAAATTGTGGATCTTAGCATCACCTGGCTAAGGCCATCGTTCTTATTTATTTCCTGTAGACACGTCTTTGTTTCATCTTCTGTGTTTAGAAATTTTGTATAAAATATCATCTTTATTTTAGGTACTGTGCTAGGTACTTGTATCATTATCACTGGTATTGCTGGTAGTAGAAAAAAAAAAAAAAGCCTTTGTGGGAGTGGAGTTTGAGATGGTAAAATAACTCCTTTAGTTCTTGAGGTAATCTATAATGTACCTCTCCTTTAAATTTGCTTCTTGGTTTAGTTTGTGATGGGCAAAATTAAGAAGCAGTGGTTTTCACTATGGAACAGCGTGCTTATGCTTCTAAACAAAATGGTTACTGCCAGTCATGCAACTACTTGCACTTTTTTGTGAGTTCTGGGCAGTTGATACTACTTAGTTGATGTATGGAAAACACTATCCATGCTAAAACAGGCATGTGACACACTTCTGAAATTAAGCTTCAGCAAATAATCGCACAAAATTAGCTTCCCTTCTTGTCTAAAAGTTATTTAACCTGTACTTGCTTGAGATGCATATTAAGACTTCCCCACTCCATTTTCTCAGCAGCTTACCATTGGTGGTGATCTGCATTCAATCCCATCAGTGTTTGCTCTTACAGACTACTACAGAGGTTTTCAAATATATCCAAGTGCTTCATTTAAGCCCTGGTGCACATGAAGGAGCTGTGAAAACAATGCAAATACTGATTTCAAAAAACACTTTCATGGTTTTAAATTGACTCGTGTAACACAGTGGGCAAGAAAAGCTGGATATCGTTTTCCTCGCATAGTGTTGCTAATGATGATGATTGTAAGAGGTTAATTAAATGTAGTGCAATATTTTTAAATATACCGAATGGAAAAAGGGCAAAATAGTTGTATTTTAGTGATAAGAAGGAAAACATAAATTCCTATCTGGCATTATTTACAATAAGCAGTGAATCTCGAGGGGGAAATTGTAATACTACATTCCTGATGTAATCTTTGCTTCATGCTTGACTGTAAATAGCTGAAAATAAAGAATACCACAGAAAACAAGAATATCTTGACTTAATGATATCTGAATAGGTGGCAGCTACACACATTTGCAGAAGACCTGCCTAATATGATTTTGTTGGCTATTATTTTATCATGAGAATAAGCTTTAATAAAATAGTTTTGCTAAATTATCAACTTTCTTGTATTGTGTCAATGTTTTTTAAACACTTCTATTGCAGTAGCTTATCTAAAGCCACCACTTACAAGAAGGATCTTCAGGGGAAAAACACATATTGCATTATATAAAACTACTGATAACTGAAGGAGGATTTTTGTGTATTTTCTGAGTAAAATTTTGTCCTGTCACCAAAAAAGGTTTGGTTACTCATTACTCAAAATATCCAAAACAACTTCTAATTTTTTATTTGGGAGTGGGGGGAAAGGTGGCCCAGAGATTCCAAACATGAGGGTGACTGTGTGGATTTTAATTAATCATCATCTTCTGGTGGAGCAGGAATGGAGCAATAGCAGGGGAGCCACTGCACTGCACTGATCTGCTCAGCAAATCATGGGAAGATGCTGCTCCCTAAGGCCCAGCAGAAACCTGGCTCCAGCTGCAGCAGAGGAATGTGATCCATTAATCTCTCCTTGGGTCTCCTCCTCATACTCATGTTGCAGATTAATGCAAACTCCTCCTTAGTTTTGATGTGCTCAAAAATACAGAACAAAGCCATGAAGAAAGCCTTTCAGTGCTTTAAAAAAAAAAAACAACAAAAAAAAAAAGAAAGTGAGTTGCTAAGTTTGAGTTACATACTTGTGAGTTCAAGAAATACGCTGTTGATCAGCTGGCAAAAAGATGAACACGTCCTGTAATAATTTAGAATTCTTGCATTGGTATTTCAGTCCCAAATTTGATCAGATGAACAATTTGATGTTGACCAAAAGACTTCAGTGGAGTAGAATAACAGCTCTTGGGGCAAAGTTCCAAGTGTGCAAATCACAGTAAAATCTGAGCCTAATGTAAACAGCCACTGATCTGCACAATTATTACTTGCTGAAGAATTCATCACAGGACAGAACCTTGGTGTCTGAAGGAGCTCTGAGAAGTGCTTCCCCCACACTGGTAAAGCACACTGCAGGTGACTCAAGGGGCTGGGGGGTCATTCCTTTTTCTTTTCTCACTTTATTACAATAGATCATGAACTTCTGTCAGATAACTTTATTTTGATGTGTTCTGAATGCATAATTATTGACAGAGCAATATTTGAAGTTTGATCCACTATATTTTTCATATTTTTTGACCATAGTATATATGCTTTACAAAACTATATGTAAACATAGTATTTATGCTGTAGTACATAAAACATCTGCAATTACATGAGAGAAGGCACATAAAGATTTTTCATTTTACAAATGAAATGATACACCATGGCTGAGAAGGACATTGGGATTGTTTTTAAAATGCTTTGTTTTCCAAGTCTTGTTTTTCTAAGTGCAGGCATACTGCCTAATACAATACTTCACCTGTATTGGACTGTGCCCACAAATGTTAAGAGTGGCAACAAACTGGCTTTGCTTCCATTTTTTTAAGCAAAGAGTATATTTGAACTCATTTAACAAAATAAATGTACATTGAATTTTTAGGTGTATATATAAATGCATGTAGAAGAGTCAGTTGAACTGTTCCAGTTCGCAGCTCACTTTCAGTACATGCTGCGACTAAATATTGTAATACTGCAGCTTTTCCTAACCACTCACTGGTGATGCAGCTAAAATAAAGTTGAAATATATGGTGAAAGATGCAAAAGAGAAATATAAAAAGTATCCTCATGCTGTTACATTCCCGGCTAAGGGAAAGGAACAGTGCATGTTTACCTGGTGCTGTGAGTTTGGGGGGCTTCATATTGCACAACTGCTTAATTAAAACTTTGTTAAATACCAATAATAGCAATACACCCATCTGTTTAGCAACCATGTTTTCCTCAACATTGCTGGTTCAGGGAGAACTCACTATTTAAGCTGGCAGAGAAGTTGTGCCTCTTATTTAGTTTTTTAGATATATTATGACCTGAAGCTGATGAAAAAAGTGATAGTGCTGTCCGTAGTCCGAGTTCCAGCTCCTCTCAATGCACTTAAAAGGATGCAAACTGGATAGGTTTTCTTTGAGGATTGCTTTTTTAAGTTTCCAATTAAATAAGAAAGACTCAAGTTTGACAGTAACCTCTAACTCCAAATAAAATATGAAATACTGTCAAGGAGGTGACTTTAAAAACCAAATAGTTAAAATTCACATTTTATACAGATTTTTACTACACATTTAATAAAAAATAGAGTCTAATATTCAATTGAAATAAATACACAAAGAGTAACACTGTACAAATGGTCTATAAAAGCTCTTTCCCCCCTGTAAGGCGGTTTGCAGTCTGCTGTATAGTCACGGGCAATAAATAATATACCTTTGGTTTTTTCTGACCATTTCACTATTAGATTTACAGTACAACTAAAACCTATTTCTGGATGAGATGTTTCACATGAACCACAGCATTTTGTACACCTAAATATATTATATGGCTTTTCTGTTATTCATCACTTTCATATTCCTCCTCTTCTTCACCTATGGGGTAGGATTGGATGTTGTTCTGGGTGTACATTTTTGTTTTCACGGGACAGTTGTGGTCCATGAGTATTGCCTGGAAGAGAACAGAGTGTGAGTATTTCTGCTTCACATCCAGCTGAGGCTGGGGCAGTTCCACCACAGCCAGCATGCTGCATGTACCACTCAGGGATTCACCTCTCATCCCCTGAGGCAGAGCCCAGACTGATTTTAGTTAGGGGAAATTGAGTCCACAGGTCTGTGTGAGGGGGGATTTTGGTGCTAAAGGCATCTGGAAAACTTCTATTTCCAGTAATTCAGCCCAGGTATTATTGAAATACCTCTACCTGCTCCCCAGATACAGTAGTTTACCCACCCCATAATTAATTTCCATCCATTAAAACCTGGACAAATAGCCAAGAGGAGTCCTACTGCTTCCAGCCAATTCTCTTTTCCTGCTTTTGTCCCCCTTTTCCATGGAGATCCAGAACAGCAGAACTGAGGATAATGCCAAGAGTGGTGGTCTCACTACCGTGCCTTGGCACCCATGGCAAGCTAAAAGTGGTAATCATGGTAAGGGCCAGATAAAATACTAAATTTTCTGGGTCCAACCTGAAAGAATTGTCACATCATTTTAAGGCCATGAGCTGCTTTGGGAACAGGAGCTATTTTGCATTTCAAGGTATATTAGAGGTGGAAGGTGTTGGAGCCACGGGGAGAGATCCTGTCCCTTCAGGGGCTGTGATGTTACAAGTGAAACTGTGTCAGGCCATGGAAGTTCGTGATAAATTTCATCTTGCCAGCAAACAGCGGCTGATTTCATTTTTTTCCTTTCTGTTCTTCAGCCTTATTTAATGTAAGAAAACCAAAGCAAACTAAACCAAGTGCAGTCAGCAAAGGTCATGACAAGGGATTAAGTGGGATCTCTGGGATTCTGCTGTCCAAACAGGAGCAGAACAGAAGGTCTCTGGCCTCACACACACCATCATTTCAGCAAGATTCAATTTTCCACCTTGTGTCAGTACAAAGTGAGCAGCACAAGCAGCAGGTGCTGTCCTTACCTTGCAGAGATGTTCCACTGCAGAATAAGACCATGACCATGCAAAATTAGTTTCTTTTCACCCAAATAAACAACCAGCAACTACATTTTGGGCCCAGATCAGCCTTTTTCAGGATGAGCAAGGGTGGAGTGCTGGATGGGCTAAACTTCCAGGTGGTGCCACTGTTCTTACACACCCTACAGTGGCTGGGGAGCTCTGAGTGCTCTGGAGCATTAAGTCTTTGGCAAATTTATATTAAAAGAGAAGCCCTGTGGCACAGATTGGACAAGAGAAGCCACTAGTTTGTAGGGATTGGTGAACTGTATGAAGGAAGGAGAAGGAGGAAAAAAGATGATTGAAAATAGACTCTAGAGGACCGTGGGAAAAAGCAGGTTGAGGCACACCAAGGAATAATTTGGTCAATTGGCCAATAGAGTCCTGGCTCTTCAAGGAAAAGAGAAGTGAATTCTATGCTGACTGCACCACAGCATATGCTGCTGCAGAGGAGTGTCTGCAGGACCCTGTCCCATAAAAATCAAATCTGTGACTTTGTAACATCTGTCTAATTAAGGGTTTGCCTTTATACATCTTGGACATAAAAAGAAGGGGGAGTTCATTCCAAAATTAATCCCTGAGGGTGAAACACACTGTGCTGCTCCCATTTTGAGGAAGCTAGAGGCAAAGATGCACATGTAAGCTATCATTTGTTTCACTAAACCCACCCTCCCCCCAAAAAAACTAATTAAAAAGCAAAAAACAAAACAAGACCAAGTTACACTTACCATTTTCTCCTCTTTGGCAGGTGGACTTCGAAGGAAAAAGCACAGGGGAGCAAAGAGGATATCCACAATTCCTATAATTGTCATGAGCCATGGGAATCCAATGGCCTTGGCAATGGCACCACCAGCAGAGGGACCTTGTACAGATAAAAACCCTTTTCTGGAGATTGCTCAGACACAAAGTTTGCAGCAGTCACTTTAAACAACAGTAATTTTGTATACAAACCCCCCATCTTACAAATGGACTTGAGGAATGTAAAGACATGTTTGTAATTATATCATAGAACTTTCCTGGCTCCATACCCCACATTCCTTGATGAGATTAGAGATGTTCCTAAGGGCATCTGTGTCATGCTCTCAAGGAGGCAGGGGGTCAGTGGGGAGTTATTCCCTTCACAGACCCTTGGAACACAGCTGTGGTGTTAGTTCTAAATGTTCCAAGGCCTCTTTCCTCGGAATATCCCATTTTTTGTGTTCAGACACCTTCAAGCTTCTTACAGCTCATGAAGTGAGCACAACATTGCTGCAGAGGAGAGCAACAGAAGCCAAACACAATTCCCCCTGCTCTGATTTCTTGCAGAAAACAAGAACCTCTTCCCATAAAATCTGCAAGTACCCCTGGGAATCACACCTGGCATTGTAGCAGATTCCCCTTTCCTTAACTCTGCTCTCCAGGCAGGGAAAGGCTGGACTTACCTATGGCAAAACCCATGCAGAAGGCAACGTCGGCTATGGCGTACACGCTGCCATAGACTGACACGTGGCGCAGATCCACCAGGTAGCCCATGATTGGCATCATGGAGGAGTCCACCATCCCTGCAAAACACAGCCCAGGAAAATGCTGCCTTTTTCTTCCCCTTCTTTTAATGTCTGGGTGAACTACGTGCTGAGAAGGGATGTGAAAGCAGCGAAAAGGATGCTTGTTCATAACTAAGGGAAAGATTTGTGGGAAAAAAATTCTGTATTGGCTTTGCTTTTTATGGTCTTTGCTGTGTCTGGGGCCAGGTGTGGGCATGTATCCAGGTGTACATCTGTCACAGGAGACATGTGAGCTTAGGGTGTGTCCACACTTCCCACCAGCCATCTGTGCAAAGCTCCCACCTCACATCACCTGCCAAGTCATTAGGGCAAAGTTACCTGGTGGGAACTTACCCTGACTGAAGGCCTGTAAGACAGCATTAGCCCCCAGTCAAACAAAACTACTGACGGTGTTTTTATCGTGTCTTTAGGTACACACACTCATTCCTGGCAAGAAACAGCACAGACAGCTCCCAAAACAGCTGAGATCTGAATTTGGGATCTGAATTTCTGCCTGTAGCTTCTTTCCCCACTACACATCCCTCGTGTGAAGATGCCCCAGAACATTTGCTGAGCAGCCAAGCACTGAAAAGCAGAAGATCCCGACTGCAGCCTGCCTGCATGGCCCAGAAAGTTCACACATGTTCCTTGAAGAGTACATGTGCGTGAGCTTGGGAATTCCTCTTCATGTACGAAAAATTTAAGCCTATTTTTTTTTTTTTATTTTTCCTGTGGAAATGTCTGTATAAATCCTTTTTTCCAGCACAGGAAGGACTATGGGTTTGGGGCACTGGACAGGCTTGGGAGCCCAGCTGGTCTAAGCAGCCTGCTTCAAACTCCCTGTCCCTTAATCCTTCTTGCTCTGCCTGCCAGTTTGGGCCACAGCTCAGGCTTCACCTCCTTTAGACCAGAATGGCAACAAAACTGATTTTCTGTGTAATTTCATATCAAACCATTTTTACAGAAACAACAGATTGTAAGAACTCATTGCAAATTTTCTTACCTATGGCAAATCCAACCCCAAACGTTGGCGCTATCAGCCCATAAATGTTTTTAGCAAATGGTACCTATAAAGGAAATTTCAGGCAGTTAGTTACGTCATGCTGCACGTGCTAATGAAGCTAGTTTCTTTTTCTGAGATGAATTCTCCAAGTAGTTATGGCCCACTTTGTACAGACCTGAGAGTTTGATCCTTGTTCTGAGCTGTCATTTCTGACAACTGTGCCATTAAACCACTGACACACTTACTATTATAAACTGCGGAGTGACGGCTCAACAGAGGAGCACGCTCCTCTCAGAGTCATCAGTCCTAAAAATAATTGAAGCACTGAAATTGGAAAGCACTCAAAACTCTGATCTGGAACCCATTAACCACACATTGTTTAATAGCGTGTGATAAGAGTCGCATGGGAAAAGCGCGTATTTGAAGAGGAGCACACAAACATTCACGTGATTTAAAAGATGCATGATTGTCTACTTACACATAAAATACTTATTCCCACGATTAGCATCCCGAGCAAAGCACAAAGCCACCTATCAAAGAAGAGACATCACTCAGAGATGGGTGATAATGAGATATTAGAGGTGATCCTGAATGTTCCAAAGCCATGTCTGAAGTGCGGAGTTAAACAGCAAAAGTAGCAATGTGTTCAAAAAAAAAGCAATTTTGCTCCTATAGAACAAGATTTAATAATTTCCACTATCAGTAAACTGCCCTGGGAAACACTGGAAACGATACACAAGGAAACTGGAAGATGATTAGTATTTTAAATTAAGCATACCTTCCAATTTTGTGTGCAAGTATCCCAAAAAGATTCGTCCCAATGAGATAAGAGATGCTGGCTGGAAGAAAAGCAACGCCTGAAAAATATGAATGAGATGTTTTATCAGCAAGGATTTTAGTGAAGTGTTAGAAGAAACTAATAAATCCCAGACACTGCAATTTTGATCTGGACACATCTAATAGAACCCAAAGAATCAAATATCCGGTTTGTTGCAGCCTTCCCATGAAATCTAAGGACATCATCTGTGAAATGCAGGAGCAACGTGATGCCTTTGAAAAGAGTTTTTTCAGCATTAGATACAAGAACTGTCTGGGAGAGGGGACAGAACAACAAAGAGCAACAGGTTTATATCTGCCTACAAGAAGCTTTGGGATGGGTGAAGGAGAGAACTCTCCTGCAGTTGCAGGGCCTCTGGAGCATATGCTGAGCACATGCAGCCAGCCCAGGGTGCTCAGGGGTCCCTGCAGGAGGGACAGCAGGGCTGCTGTGGCTTTTTGCAAGTGACAGTCCCCCTCTAAGCCTGGGCATGCCCCAAATCTTCCTGTTACAGGCATGTCTGTAGTGCCATGGTGTGGCCCTTGGTCAAGCAGAGACTGAAGTCAAGCATGTATCTATAATGTAGGGGTAGAAAAAACTTTTAAAATTGTATCAAAGCTATTAAGCCAACATATTTTTAGTATTTTTTTTAAAAAAAACAACACATATTGGTTTAAATAAAATAAAATTTTAAAACACTGTAATAGTTTGCAGATGAGAACACCTGAGTAAATTCTGTGTCTCTCATTTCCCACCTCCACTTGGAAGAGCACACTGTTGGCACCAGCAGTGTTTTTCTATCCCTGAAGTTGCCACAGCAGAGGCTGTATCTGGAGTAGATGCTGTTGTCTGGTGACATCTCTGGTTTAAAATCCAGTTATTACAGTCTGTAAAGGAGGATTCATCCTCTCCTTACACACAAGTCCCAGGACAGGACCCAGCCAGAGATTTAGAAAGCAGCCTTGGCATCAGGGTACAAAATCCAACCACTTCCTTCACGTGTATGTGCTCCTCATCTTTCTCCAGGGCAGCATAGGTTTTCTCATTTCCTGCCTATCCATCTTCCTTCCCATCTCTCTGATACATTCATAAGAAAAAAATCAAGAGGTAATTGTTAGCACAGCAATATCCTGTGATTAAAAACCTTGTGGGTTACAGTGGTGGCGCTGGGGAAAGATTTAATTTTAGCCTGTGTAACCACAGCTACTTCAGTAGTGCTTGGAGCTATCTGGTTATACCAAACAGTCTCACAGAGCAGACCTTGACAGCTGTAAAAGTGAAATAATACTGCAAAAGCTTGTTAAAGAAGACTTGCACAGGTTGGTCTGTAAGCTGTGGTACACTGAGGCAGAACAAGAGTTTTCTAAATAGCCTTTATGCACAGTAATATTCATTGGTCAAATCAAGGTTCTTTATACCTTCTTCAGATCAGGCTTCAAACAGCTGGATTCCCAATTGCATAAGATAACAATTTGCTTAAAACACTGAAGTTCACTTTACAATTTAAGAGGCTTAAAATTTTTAATTAATGCTGTCAAATCAGACAAAGTGAAATGCAGTCAATTACTTGTACCATTAAGGGGTTAAATTAGTCTTAATTTAAAATGGTTATTTTCCTTCTATTAACCTCTGTTCAATTAAGAGTTCTGTAAATCTCATTTCCATTGCACCAGTAGTATGAAACTCTGAGGGAAGCAGATAGGCAGAATTTATTTTCTTTTTTGAGGTTCAAAATACCCAAGTCTGCATGTTCATTCTGCTGTATTACAGCCTAGCAGTTATTGCCAGGTTCAGCAGTACATGAACAGCTGCATCTGTGGCCACTCTAGATCTCAATTCCTTTAATTAGAATTTGTGCTTTCTCTAGGGTGTAGGGACACCTACATTAACACAGATCAGGGATATCAGCTGAACATCATTTTCCTGAAGGATTTTTCTTTTTCCTTCATACTATACACTGATATTAAAAAATAGCTTCATGAACACTTCATGAAATCAAACAGAGACAGGTGAAGGCTGGGGATCCCCCACTTAAGATTCACATCAACCTCACACATGGTTTGTCACTCACTAGAATTTAATCCACTTTCTGGTGGTTTTTTCCTGCTCTTGTTCACCTCAAAGAAGAAGTAACTGCCCCAGATTTCCTCTGGATGCCAGTGGACAGATGGGGCACATTCCATGTTCACCATGGCCTTGGTTTCCCAAGGCTGTGTCCCTGCTAAAAGTCATGACGAGGTCCACGGTGGGGCTCCCCGCTGCTTTCTGTTGACAGGGATGATTAGCAACACTAAAGGATGCCAAATATTTCAATTGCAAGGGAAAGTGCTCCTCATGTCCTCGTGGCCACATTTTAAGCACAATTCCATCTTTCTTCCACGTCACCAGGAGTGGCCTGGAAGGAGGGGGTGCTGCCACGAACGTGCCTGGCTCCTGCTGCAGATCTCTGTGCCTGCCTGCTCAGGGCAATTCAAACTAGGAACTGAGGAGAGATTCCATACAGGGAAAAACCAAACAACTGGCTTTGCTCTGCAAGGCTGGCTCTGTAGCTCAACAGGCACCTTGCAGCTGCCCTGGCCAGCATTCACTGCCAAAGCAGTGCTGGGATTCCCAGTGGAGATGCATCAACCCCAGTCCTCAGGCTGCCTGCAACTATTTTTCCTTGAAATGTGAGTGCAGCCCATTACAGGAGCCCCTATTGCAATAACATCACCCCACTGTATTTTTCTTACATACCAGTGTTTGTAACTCTGCTGGTCTAACACTGACACTTTACAGATTACAAAAAAAAAGCAAACAAATTACACCCCCAAAGCAAATAATCTTTAACAGGACCAGAACTCAGGCATTCAATAGACAAAATATAGAGATGCAAACAATATACTGTACTTTACCAAGCTGCCATTTTTTTGAGCACATGGTCTCCATCATCCAGATGGGTAAAGCCGGTTCAAGCATAGCAATAGCCATGTTTGCAAAACAGATTGATCCTTAAAGAAAGGAGGGGAGGGGAAAAAAATAGTAGCAATTATTTCTTTTTATTATCAACAAAACACCATGCAAAAATGGATGCTTTTACATAAAATCTTGCATTTCTTACAGCCCTATTTGTGATGTGTCAGAAGGTGATTAACATTAAATAGAGCACAGTGTAATATTACTGAGTGCTAACTTTTTATATGTTTCTATTCTCCTAGAAATTCTACAATAAAGGTTAAGCTGTTTCATAATGTGAAAGTTCGCAGTGAGCTTGATGACATTTGGAAAGTTCATGAGGTCTGTTGTACAAATGATTAGTTAAAACTACAATCACTTGGTCTTTACCTGGTCTCCTGGGGCAATACCAGAGCCCCGTTGTGTAAGAGGCTCAGGCTCTGACCCTCTGTCATCTGAGAGATCATGCCTACATCACATGACAGGATGGGGAGGTCTTGATCCTAAAAATACCAAGATACAGCCACAGGGAGGTCTGTTCCCCACAAATGGGAATTTACTCTCAAGATCCTACAAGTCAGCCAGCCTGTGCAGCAAACACTGCTTTGAGCTTGCACAACCCTATGAATTTCAAATGTTTACCAATCTCTTTTGAATCCCTGGACCTTTAATAACCCAAATTTCAAATGTTTACCAATCTCTTTTGAATCCCTGGACCTTTAGTAACTCAACACAAAGGATATCAAGTGGTGGAAGTGCTGATTCAGTCTTGCCTGCCAGCTCAGCTCTGCCCCACACCACTGCCTGCAGTGCCAGGCTCCAGTGGGTTTGTGTCGTGTTCATCTCTCCTCAGCAGTGCACTTCAGCTTTAGTGGAGGGATTATGAAACCCCACGGTATTTCTTTGCATTCAAGATGCCTTTCACACTTACTCAAAAGACCCTCAGGCACTCAAAGCTTAATGCAGGGCAACAGGACATGTCCCCTCTGCTAATCCCTTACAAAATGGCTTTTGGAAGTCACTGCTGGAAGTGACAAGCTCAAGTTGTGTTCCCATCTTTCTTCCTAATACTTACAGCCACTGAATTTCAGGAAAATATTCTGGACTCTTCCAGTCATTTACTATAATTTTTTTTTCTCTTTTTTTTTTTTTAAAAAAAAAAAGCTGAATTTTTCAGAGGTCAGAGAAACATTATTTCTCTCAGAAGGAGTTCCTCATCATAAGGTTCAAAACCAAATGAGCACTGATGTCATTCTTTGCTCAAACCTGTCAGAATACATTAGACTGTGTATCCACAGTTCCTAAAATGAACTTGCTGGCTAGCTGGCTCACTCCCCTCCCTGGGCAAGGAGCAGCAGTTCAGCACTGCTTTACCCTAAAGACAAAAGCCAACCTTTCCACTCTGCTGCAAGCTCCCAGAGAGGGTCTGTAAGGAGCCCCAGTTAAAAACCTTGGGGCTCTTCCAAGCCAAAATCAGCCATGCTCAAACAGCTTCCTTGATGCTGGACAAAACATTTCAGGCTGCACAAAGTGGAAGCAGGACCATTCTAACTGAGACAGCTTAAACAGCAAAGGATTTATTCTCTTCTGAACAAACCCCACAAAGGAAGGAGAAACAGGTTAGCTTGCACACAGTTATGGCACCTACTTCTCTTTAGGCCAGGAAGCATCACCAGAGCTTACCAAAGTACTCAGGGTGATAAAGGTACTTCAGATCTGCAGAATGTGCCCCAAGAGCAAAGCGAGAGCCTGAGCTGGTACTCTGCAATCCTGGGGCAAAGTCCAAGAGCCTGCTGCCTCAGCAAAGCTTCCTCAAGATAAAATAAATTATTTCTTTCCCCAGTCTTGCATGAAGCCACCCTTTCTTTAAAGTGCCATGTGTTGAGAGCATGAATCCTACATCTTTTCTTCCTTGAATTAAATGTCCTGTGCTGGCCAGAAGGTGTGAAACTGCAGCCTTCCAGCTGAATCTCATCTCCACAGCCAAGAACCCCCTCAGCTTTTGGCAGAGTGCCACAGACACCACTGGCATTTTCCTGTGAAAGAGCAGGGACCCAGTGAAAAGCTGTCCCACGCCTTCTCAAGGACCTGTGTGCTCATGATGATATCTGTCTCAGCTCTGGTTTTTGAATCTGATAGTTTAAATTAACTTGTCTGTCCATGCAACTTTGTCAGGCAGGCAGTAGCACTGATTTTCCTGGAATCCCTGTCAGTGAGGTTTGGATTCAAGAATGTCACTGGTTTCACTCCCTGAGCTTCCACCAGAGTGACAAAACATGTCAGTGACATTTCTCCTGCCTGGTCAATGGGTAGTGATGGCACAGACTGTGAAGCATCACCTCTGACACTAACCAGGGCATTTGTCATTCAGCTCTGACAAAACCAAATTTGGTCTGCAAGGGAAATAAAGCAAGGAGGGAAGGCTGAGGTTAGAGAACATGAGCATCACCTGTGCTGTCAAAGCCCTGGGCAGCCTCTGTCCCTTGAGGCAGAGTCCCCAGGTTCTCCCCCTAAGCCCACTGATAATCCATGGGAGGGACTTTCTCATACTTTATATGCTTTAACTGCTGTAAGAGAATTACTGAGTCAGCTGAATGGCAAATCTGATCTCTTATGACAAGTACTGTCTTTGCTATACTTTTCCCTCAAATACTCTTATTCAGTGGTTTTTTCATGCTCCAAGAATTTCTCAAGCAAAAGGGTTTGTATAACTTAAGTCACAGCTCAACCAAGCCACAGAGTTAAGGTTATGATAATTCCCCAAGATCAGCAAGAAACAGAAAACTTTCAGAAATGCCTGGGAGAGTTGTTCTGTTAGACAAATAAGCTAGGATGAAGAAACAGAACTGTGAAAATATTTATCTGTTTCCAGGTATTTTATCAACATTAGAAAGGGCCAGGCTTAATTACAGACTTCAGAGTAAACATTCAACAATGTGCAATGCAAAAAGACAAACCTCTCTTGAGACAGAAAGGCTCATTAGAAAAATTATATATAAAATACCAAACACCACTCACCATTCCACCCAGACCTTTCCTGAAATACAATTCAGGCTCAAGAGACCAAACTCACTCCCTCTTCAAACAGAAACAAAGTTCAATGTTATTCCCTGTGCCTGCCCGTGATGTGCTGGCAATCCCTCACTCTGAAAGCCTTGGCCAAGGCACTTGCCTCACAAGAATTCCTGGCCACATCTCATTGCCTCAGCAGGCACCTGCAAGTCATTAGTGGCCTCTCAGTTACTTTACATTTATTTCAAGTTTTCTGCCTTTTTTGTTTCTACTGGTACATTCATTCTGTATTACCAACACATTCTTAGATCTTTACGTAAAGTAAACCAGCAAATGACAACACTGTTAAAGCAGCTCAGCCCAAAGCATGCCAAGAGGCCAGGGATGGCATCAATGGCTGGTTTAAAAAATGGAAAAAAAGGTCTGGTACCTGCTGCAATAATGATATATGGGTCCTTCAAAAGTGTCAGTAAAGGTGTCCCCTTCTGACTCTGCGAAACAAAAGCTTGGGATTAGGAAAGGCAAAGTGACACCCATTCCTGCAGTGTTTTACCTCAATACTCACTTCTGCCTGTGTTCTGGAGGGCTGCAGAACAAGTAACTGAACAGCTGTGAAAAGAAATCAGTGGTGTAACATTCCTCCAGGAAGGGGGATGGCCAGCAGGAGGGGGATGTGCTTCAGGGTGACTCCGGGTACCTACTGACCTCCATCAAACAGAGCCAGGGCTGCCAGCACCAGGAAAGGAGAGCTCTTCCCCACAAACTCGTACATGACACTCCCAAAAGGGGGGCCCACTGCCAAGGAAAGGAAAGGACACAGTTGTGAAGACTCTGACTCTGAACAAATCCCCTGTGAGTGCTTGGGCATTCTGCTACTGGCACACAGTGACCAAAAATCCAGTCTGAAAATCCCCACAAAGATTATTGATCATGGCAATAACATATTGTTCATTCCCCAAAACATTCTGCAATGCAAACAAACCCCAAAAATCTCAGAGATTACTGCTTGACACGTGTATCCACATAGGGAATGTCTGCTGTGGGACAAGCTGCTCACATACACCATGAATCCTGTCTGGAGACTGCACAATACCATGACAATTCCCATTGCGTTGCCTCTCTCTTCATCATCCGTATAAACAGTGGCAAGCAAGCCCATCCCTACAATGAAACAAAAATAAAATAAAGGGAGACAAAGAAAAGAAAAAAGCACAGAACAAAATTAAGCATCTGTGTGCCACAGTTTATGGTCATCATTTGCCATACCTACTAAACATTATACAGAAATACACACAGAGATCTATCTATATACATAGTCCTTCCCCACAGAATTAACTTCCAAGCAAAAATGGTCCTGGCAATGTCCATGGTCCCCAAGACCATGTTCTGTTGTGCAGTATTAGTCAGATAATTTAGTGATGCCCTTATTTGTTAGATCCTTTATTCATCTCTTTGTCACTGAGCTTTTAGATGAGGCTTTCCAATGAGCAGAAACAAAGCTTTTGACAACTATTCACCATCATTTATTTATACTTGGAGTGCACAAAGGTCTGGTGTCCACTTAGCTCCAACTGTGGACAGAGCTCTGGGCATGAGAAATTATGCAGAGCTGATTGCTTTGTAAATGAGTATTTCAAGTTCAGCATCAAAAAATTAAAGGATCCTTTTGACCTTTATCTTCACATTCCTTATTTCTGCTCTTGATTATGAACCTTCATTTCATAAAAGGAAACATGAAGCCTAATTTGCTTGAGCACTCAGACACTGTAGATGTAACTGCTGCAGAAGAGTCCTTATAGAAATTAATAATTCTGTTTTCAAACCAAGATTTACATAGGACTCAGTAAATAAGGTCCACAGCTACACAGAGAAGGAAAACAATACATTGCATGGTTGATCACTCAGTAAATACCATCCATGATGTGCATCAAAAGAGCAGAGGTCCTGTGTGGATTACTGTGAAAAGAGTGGATGACATCAATTGTTTGCATGAACAGCTGGAGAGCTGTTAGAGAGCTGCAATAGAATTCACCATGAATGTGGGATTTGGGGAAATAATCTGGAAGAAAAGAAGGAGGGGGCAATGCAAAGACAATAACACAAAGTTCTCCCTAGATAGGGATGGTTGCACACACAAATTCAGGGCAGAAAATGACTGGCAGCAGTGGTACACAAAACTTCCTTTGCCTGTGAGATACATGATGAGAATCTCACTGCTGGTGACCCTGTAAGGAGCCAGAGCTTCTTCCCAGGGCTGGGTCTGCTTCTGCTGCAGCACAGGGAGAAATCTGGGGGTGCCTGGAGACCATGCAGAGAATGGCAAAGAGGGTGAGCAAGGGCTCAGAATAACATCGGTGAGGGACAGCTGCAAGTCTTCCTATTTTAAACCACAGAGGATAAAACTGTTGTGAGTGGTGATAACAGTCTTGCAATGTGAAAGAGAGCCAGGAAGATAAAGAAAGGAAACTGTTCTTTGTGTTCTCTGAAGGATGGGAAGCAGAAATAAGTTCACATGGCAGTGAAGTCTTTAGATGAGACATCAGGAAAAAAACCTTCCTGACCGTAAATGTACTTAAGCACCAAGCTGGATGCTGAGGGCAGTTCTGGAGGCTTCTGAGGTCGTGCCTGTCAAGTGTGCATGAGGAATGACAGATATTAAGTTGATCCTGCCTTCAGGAAGGGGTGGGCTAGATGGTCCTTGGCCTTTTCTGCTCTTTTGTCTACATTGGCTGAGAAAAAAAGAAAGTATTGTGTTCACCCAAGAGCCCATAGCTCAAGGTGTTCCCTTGCACCTTGGACTGAGGTACAGCTGAACAATGATTTTGATTCTGGAATGTCTTCCCTCGGAAAAGCTTGACTTGCAACCTTAACAGGCATCAGTTCCTGACATTGCAGGAATTTTTTTCAAGATTGAAATACTCAGCATGAACAAAACATATTTTCTCCAGCCTCAGCCTCAAGAATGCTGAAATAATTTGGGCTGAAAACCCATACTCTGTTTTACCTACTCATTTGAAAATGAGACACTTTTTTTGGAAATGTGGTACAGAAATACTGAGCCCAAGCTGACAGCCAGCATGGTAAACCCTAGAAAACAATATTTTATAACAGAAATTTCTGTAGCAGACAGAGCTGCTGTTCTAACTGTAATAAGTACCAACATAAGTTCCCAGTGACCTTTAAAATGGCTAAAAATGAATTAAAAATGTTGAAGACACAGGTGCAGAAATCCCAGGGAGAGTGCAGTTCATTTAGTGCTCTACCTTACTGCAACCCAAATACCAAGGAAGTCTTAAAAGACATTTGCTTTTGAGCTACTTCATATAAAAGAGACAGGGAGAAAAAAAAATTATTGATTCAATTGAATATTTTTGTATTAATTATTGAATGTGCTGACAAAATTCAATTAAAAAAAATTACTGAAAGTGATCTGCATTTTCTTCTATCATCTCTTCTCTTACCTGCCACAGAAGAACATGAGGAACCCACTCCTTGAAGGGACCTGGCAATAAATAGCAATGCATAGCTTCCAGAGAAGGCAAACACTGCAGGGGGAAAAAAAAAAAAAGAAAGAACAACAAAAAAACAGGTAATTTTTAAAATTAGGTTAACTCTAACTAGGTTAAAAAGTTTGATTTCTTGAAACTATCACAAAAACTTTCTACAGTCCAGTCAAGTGTTTACAGTGACTTGTGCCACTTTCAATGCTAACTGCATTATTTTCTCTTATTGCATTTAGATGTGTCAGTGTTGAATTGCTCTCAGGTGTCCAAGCCTCCAGGTAACACCAAATGCAAGAGCCCAAGCAGTTTTAACTAATTACTCAGGATTTGATTACATCTGCTGTGGTTCAGCTGCACACAAGAGGAGTAATAAGAATTTTCTTTCCAGCCTCACCTCTCCACACTGGTTCTTTTAAGGCTGCCCAGTCTGGAGCTCCAGGCACATGGGGAAGGCAGGATGTAACACCCACTCACCAATGTTTCCTCCAGTAATGAGTGGGTGGAGAGAGGTTTTCCCCTGCTGCTGCCAGATGTGTGGAGCACAGCTGGCTGAAGGAGCAGGGAAGCCAGATCCCCCCACTCAAAACCTCCAGCAAGTTCCTTCTCCTCCCAACAGCAGGGAAACTGCAGCAGAGGACATGTCACTCTTTCTTTTCCCCAAGAGATTTAACCCCAGGCTTCACCCTCAGCCACTCCCTGACTTTTGGGACAGAGCTCCTGGGTGCTGCACTCAGCCTGGCTAAATTTCCCACCCACAACACTGCAAAATAGGAGTTTCTCAGAAATTCAACCACTTCTCTGTAGAGCCCACATTGTTGTCAGTGTCATTAAATCTAGAGTGAGTTCATAAAGGTCTTTTTTCAGCTCCCATCTGTTGGCCACCTAAGGAATTTTGCTGGGCAGGTTACAGCTGTAGGAAGGTGTTATCCACCAACTAATCATGGGATTCATGTCCACTCCTCCCACCTACCCTGTGAGATTGTGCCTCTTGGGGCTTTTCACCACATTTTACAAAAATCCCTACTGTGTGGACACATAAAACTCAATAAAAATAAAAGAAAAAGGAATTTCAGCAGTTCTCTGCTCTGCCATGAATTAGCCTCACTACTCTTATCCACATCCCAACCAGAGTTTATCTAAGGTGTTCCTAAAACACAGAGTTGTCAGTGGCTCTAAGACCAGGTCATCCTCTCTAGTACTTCAGTCCCCTTGATGATACAGTTTTAAGGTCATAGAACCATGGAATGTTTTGGGTTAGAAGAGACCTTAAAGATCACCTGGCTCAATTCCCTGCCATGGGCAGGGGCACTTTCCACTAGATGAGGTTGTTCCAAGCCCCATCCAACCTGGTCCTGGGCACTTCCAGGGATGGGGCATCCACATCTCCTCTGGGAAACCTCTCATTCTTTCTTTTATTTACAGTGACATGGAAAACTCTTTATCCCCTTCTTTTTTTGTCATAGGCTCCAATACATCTTACATCTTTCTGAGGCAAAAGCGGCTCTTTCACCGATCCTCACAGGCTTCTAATGAGCCTTGATGTTCTCTGTACTCTGCCTGGGCCACAGCTTTAAATGTCAGGCCAAAACCAAACATAAAACAGCAGCTGAAGCCTTATCAATGCCATTAAAGCAGGCAAATTATCTCAGCTGACTTGCAGGCTGTGCTCCTGTTTGCACATCCCGCAGCGATGTTTAGCAACGCTGTGATCCTGTTGACTCATCCTCTCCTCATGAGCCACTGCAGCCTCACAATCTTTCTGATAAACCCCCATGATATCTACTTGTTCAGGGCCTTGCAAGACAGCTCTCCCATGCCTGTGTAAAGTGCCTGAGCACTGCTCCAGGCCAGAAAAACCTGTAAGATTCAGCAAAGGAAGAGATCTGCTGCGGTGGGATGAAGAGTTGTGATTCCCAAGAGAGCACTTGTTCAAACTCATCAGTACCACCATCAACATGGAGCTGACTCCCTTAAATTTTCCTTGGAAATTAGTCCCCATACATCAGCAAGAAGAATTCCTAGTGATAATTATTATAGACCATTTATTTAAAAGTTGTGCCTGGGACAGACCAAATAAGATGTGGGCACTTACTGATTGTTGAAACAAACATGATGCAGAAGCCAGCAAACAGCGGAATCTGGTAGCCTATTCTGGAAAACAAAATGAATATTCACATTTCTGAGGTTTTGAGTTAGTTTTACACGAGTTTACACACCACACAAACCAAACCTGTAGTTTCTTGAACTATTTATTGTGGACCACATGGCCATATCTGTCCACATTACAAATTTATTTTCATCTGACACAGCAGAAATTTATACCTGAAATCCCTGGAGGAAATCCTTCTCATGATTGTCCTGATTGCCCCATTCTTATCCTGCCTTAATTGTTCCCAATAAAATCCCTTTGGGCCTCCACAAAGTTGCCAAAGATACACCAAGGGAAGGTTTCCCTGAGTGTGCTGAACTTTGAAATAGCCCAGTTGTGTTTCAATGCTCATCTGTTTCCATCCTCATGAGACAATGATTATAATGAGACATAGTCAAGCCAATGGCTTTTTTACTGGAAAAATTTGTCATCAGCTTTTCTGGGAGTTTTGCCTCAGGAGCACTGGAAAAGTCCCAAAGAGCCTGAGAATAATACTTTTGCTTTCCATGGGTTTAGGAGTAGAAATGGAGCTGATCAAAGCTTTCTTCATCAGCCCATTTCTTCATTAGGACTCTAAACAGCCTGTAGAAATGCCTGGTTGCTGCAAGTATTTCCAAATTTTCAGGAAATAAAGAACTTCCTGGCTGGGAAACAAATACATTTTTTGAGCAGATAAAACTGAAAATTCAACCAAAAAAAAATTAAAATCACAATATATTATTTTTCACACCATTAAAAATCTACCCTAGAGTCAAAACCCATGTAGCTCTGAAGACAGTGTGCATATTCTATCCAGCACACTTTGCTCACAGCTTCATTTTTGTAGGATTGTGCATCTCAAATGTATTTGCCGTTATTTAATGGCCAAATTCTTCAACAATGGATCATGCTTTTCAGAGGAGTACTTCCAAAGGATTTCAGTTTCCAGTGATTTGACAGAGTTGTGCATTTAAATGGGCAGTGTTGGCTAAAGCAGGTCAATCAAATAATGGAAGGGTCAAAAATGTCCCTTTTAATGACAGTAGTCATGACAGAGGCAAACCAAAATAATTATTCTGAGCTTTGTTTTTGTATTAATATTTTTATACAATCAAGGACCTTTGAAAATGGAAAACTCCCTAAAGTGCAGAGAATGTTCATTGTTTGTCTCATTCTTGTGAATAAAATAAATTGAGCTTTCACGTGGTGCTTTGCCTTAAATCATCACTGCATTAAAATATGATAAATATGATAAAAACATGGTGCCCATGTTCTCCTAGTTGAAATCTCTAAGTGGGTGTTTTAAATACCCAGCAGAGACTGGTTGCTCATGTGCTGCTTACCTGAACTGGTGTCACCAAAGTAAATTAAATCCCTATCACAAACTTCCCCGTGGCCTTAGGAAGGGGGAATAAGATACTAATTAGAGATAAAGATACTAAAATAAGAACTTTAATCTCTCAGCATCTTCATACATGATATATTAAAGAGCAATACTTTTTTTTGTCTGCTTTATTTAAAGTGAATGATTTTTCCTAAGCCAGCCCTTCCCTTGCTGTGTGTGTCATAAGTATTACACAATGGGATGCTGGTCTCCACTGCCTTTTCTAGGTACATGAGGAAATAAAAAATTGCTTCTTGCCAACTTCTTACCTGCCTCAGAGCTGAAGTGAGCAGTTCCCAGTGGGCCCAGGTAGAACAGGCCACAGAGAGTTTGATCATAATTGCTTTGATTTTGAGTTTTTCAATTAAAGAAAGCACTGTACAGGAGTACAGACAAAATAAACAAAATAAAAAGAATTTAAAAAAATAAATAAAAGCCCTGCAGGTTTGGATACTGCTGGTGGTGAGCATTACCAGATTTTTCTGGGGCATGAATGCAGAAGATGAATGTCCCTATGCCTTTTTCCACTGCAAAGTAAAGTAGGGTTGGGTCTGTCAAGGCCATCCCAAATGTATCTAAGATGGACACTGTGAGGGAGAATTCTGCTTTCAGTACAGAAATCAAGCATTCATAGACTCGACACAGGGCCTGTAAGACAGCAATTTGCTTCTGCTGCAAGTACATTGAAATAATACTCAGTTATTTGCATGAAATGCAATGAAATGCCATCCAAATTGGCTGCCACATTCCCATTTCCATCATTACATCAGAGACATGAGCTGTGAGATCTCCCATAAACATTCATGAGCAGTGTTATCACACTAAATAAAGGAGATTTCAGCTCTTTCAGTAAGCTTCCTACACTTGGGAACTTTGTGGTGGTTGAAGGTAGGCAGAGTGTAATACTGTTCAAGCATTGTTCTTATTTTTTGCAGTTGCAGATTTTATTCTTCCTTTTCCTTGGACAAACAGGGCCACAGCAAAGGTGGAAAGTGACACACAGCAGAGGGTGGGAGTTAAACAAATACTTATAATATCTGGAAGGATAATATTGCCCAGAGCATCCCCCACAAGGTGGAGATGCACAATTCTGGAGTGCTGCCCCTGTATGGGATTGCTGAACCTCTAGAAGCCGTGGTTGGGCTTTCTCAGGAGACAATCCAGCTGACATTTACTTAGATATGCAGTTTGTCCTTTCCTGGGCAATCTCAGCAAACCCTGCCTCTTGGCAAACCCAGCTCCTCCTGAAACAGCAGCACTAATTAGTTGGCAGCTGTGCTACCACAAATATCTAATCTGCAGCTGCATTCCCTGGTCTGGTCTGCTCTAGAGATGTTAGAGAGCACAGACTGGGAGGTTGTGCTGAACAAGTGCACTATACAACAGAAATAGCCATAAGAAGGAGAGGCACCACCTGCAACAGGCAATTCAGAGATTCTGTCCCTTGGTCCTGGGCCATTCGTGTTCTTGCCATGTGTAGACAGTGAATATGCACTTTTATCTCAGCCATGACATAGCACCCTCCCTCACAATTACCTCTGCATTTTGTTCCTCTGCATGGATGCAGTACCAAAGGATATAACAGCCTGCCTTCTCTCTTATTTTTTCTTGTTACTATGGCCAAGCATATAATTTTCTGGGGCACTCCTTTCAAAACCCTCCAAGCAATTCTGAAGCAGAGTCCAGCACATCTCTCACCAAGGCTACTTGCAGCTAAAAGTGCTTATTACAAGTATTTCTGATCTCTGGAAAAGTCTGAGCCACTCCTTGAAGCATGGAAAAGAAAGGCTGCCACTGATGGAGAATGCCCAGATGAACTCCACCTCAGTCACTGTGGTTCCAGATTGTAGGGCTCTCAGGAAATTATTTATACCCATTAACAAGATTACTCTAGAATAAGACAACAGACTGTTGGTTCTGTGCATCAGCACAATAAAGGTTACATTGACCAGGTGAGCAGCTGTGGATTATTAGAGCCTAATTATCAATTACAGTGCTGCAAATCCACCGATTCCAACCCTGCTGTTACACAGCTCCACGGTACCCCCGTGAGCACCCCTTGCTAGCTCTGTCCTGCCTGGCACTCTGGCTTTCTTCTTCACTGGCAGTGAAGACTGGGGAGGATTTATGCCAAGAATATGTTCTTCGAGGTTCTGAACCAAGGAACCATTTAATATTTGTGGAGTTACAAATATTCTAATATAAGAATGCATAGGGTCATAGGACCAGGGCATGTGGTCCCATGCTGGAGCACAGGGAAGGCAGAGGGACAGCATGGCCTGCAGAACAGGTCACTTCAGTCTCCTGCCAGAACCTGAAAGGAAAGCTCACATAGGAGCTGAACTGTAAATAGGTAGTTACAAATGTTATTTATTCCTCTGCTTCCTTCTTTTGTGTGTCTTGGGCACGAACACATTGTGGTCCCAGCTGCTCACTCTCTCTCTCATGCAAAGGAGTTCAAAGCTGTAGCCAGGATGGTGTCAAAATGAGGTGATGATGAAAACAGCTATTAATTTTTTAATGTTTTTTGAGGCTGATATGAATAAGGACAAGGCTGAAACTACACATTTTTTCCAGACTGATGAAAAAAAGAAGGCAGAGGCATTGATTGTCTCTGGTGGTTGAGGGGCTGGCACAGCTGGGCTCACAGCCTGGTGCACAGAGCTTGGTCAGAGTTTGAAAACAGCAGTGGAGTGAGTCAGAGAATCACAGAATGGTTTGGGGGAAAGGGAGCTTAGACCCCATCTCCTTCCAACCCCCTGCCATGGGCAGGGACACCTTCCACTGGGTCAGGTTCCTCAGAGCCCCATCCTTGGGCATTTCCAGGGATGGGGCAGTCACAGCTCCTCTGGGCTCCTGTCCCAGTGCAGCTGGATAAAATATACCCAGTGAGGTATAAAGGGCAGCCCTCTGCCCACTCTCTTCACTGGACAGCTTTAGGCAGAGCTTTCACTCCCCCCACTGCCAGTGCACCCTCCTCACAAAGAGCTCTGTGTCAAATGCTGTGCTTTGTGCATAGTGTCTTACAAATTTCACCACCAGGAAAAACATAATGTGCTTCTGAGCCACAAAATCTTATCAGCTCTGCCCTGAAACTGTGCCAGGGTGGGAAGTGTATTGTTGACTTCCTATGGCAAAGCCATCACTGGTGTTTGCTCTGCTAGAGCTTTGTTAGGGCATGGGAACTTGTATTGTTTCAGGAATTGCAAATCCGCTCTCTGAGCCAGGTGTGTCTGGTGTTGCGTGAAAAGAGCTGGGCTTTAAATCAGAAATGTTCCTTGCAGGACATACTCCTTGAATGAAATCAATTCTGAAATTTGCTTTTGAAAATCTACATCTTCAGTAATTTTAAAGGAAGGGAAAACAGGTCTCCAAAACTTTCAGAAAACCTAAAAAAATAGTGATTATTTGCACAGACTCGTATGAGTACAACACCCTGTTGCTGGCTGCACAAACCCGAGCACTCAAAGCCAGTGCCTGGTGAAAACCAGCACTTGACTAAAATTCTAAATCACTCTTGAACAGTTATTGAAAAATAAGTATCACTGTACACAGTGTGCTACTCATTTGAAAAAGAAACTTACTGGGCATCTTAACCAACTGTCCACGCTGATCTTGAAACAAGCAAGCATTTCTCCTTAAACTTTGATATTTTGCTGGAATTTTGTAGAAGCAACAAAGGCAAAAAGCTTAACAGTAACCAAACAGCTGATCAGTGGTAGGGGTCTTTCTAACAATTACCCAGATATTTTCTGTTTGATTTATACAATCACAAATTTTAGCTGATCATATACAGTGTTATTAGAAATTGTCAGTTTAAGAGGGGGAGGATCTACAATAGTTTCTAGAGTTAATTGAGAAATGTGTTAACTGATATTTCCCATTAAACATTTCTCAGAAGAAAGGCTGATACCAGTACCCAGATACAAATAATGCATGAAAGAAAACCAGTGAACCCTAAATCTAATTTAGGGCCACTTTTCCATTAAGGCACTCACTTCAGCTGTATGAAGGGAAGAGTTTGTCATGTGGGATGATGGGATGACGTGCTCCTTGTTTTTCCTTCTCACATTCACTGGGCATGTGAGCAAACCTGGCCCTGCAGCCACACACCCTGCCCCAGGCAAAACCCTGTAGGAAGTTTCCAGGAGGAAACTCAGCTCCCAGCACTAAAGCTCACACTGCTGTGCTGCCAGGAAAGGGAGATGCTACAAGAACATCTCCTGCCTCATTGCCAAACCCAGGGATGCATCACGCACGTCCCAGAGCTGTGACCACACACCTTTCTCCTGTTTTGGCAGGAAATGGTGGCACTAACACAAAAAGAGCAAATATCAACAGGGCAACAATTTAGGCAGTTTGGAAAATCTCGAAGCACATCCAAAGAACTATTATAAAAACATTATTTGTTGTTATGGTACTTTACCTGCAGAGGAGCTATGATTTCCTGACTAAACAATACAGGTAAGAAAAATCCTTCTCAGCTGGCAGCAATATTTGTGCAAAAGTAATTTTGTGGTGGCATACTTATATCTGTGTAGGTGATGTGTATTGGTGATAAGGGGAAATGAGACAGAAATGAAACTGTCTGTTGTGTTTGGATCAGTTCCACAGATCAAACACAGGTTTTGAATACATAACACTGTGAGTCCAAATACTGCTTAGCCCTCAGCTGGATACTTTTTATTAGACTGAAAGGAAACACTCAGACTATTTATATTTAGTTATAGTTATAGTTATATATTTTTATTTTATATATTTATATATATAATATATATATATATAATATATATAGTTATATATTTTATATTTTATGTATATACACTTTAAAACCTAAACAAGGTAGTTGTGGCTTCAAAATCTGAAATATCTGGCATTGGAGCATGTTGGTTGTTTTAAGTATTGTCACCTCTGATGGACATTGACTGCTTAAACAAGTGTTCTACAAGTACAAATTTCTGCTGCATATTATTTTCTGGAAGGAATAATTCTCTATGAAAACAGCTTACATCAGAAATATGCAGATTAGTGACCTGACTAAATACAGTTTGGAGTTTCTTTCCTGCAGAGATTGAGGTCACAGTCTCAAAATATTAACAATGAAATCAAATTAATTATTAATGTCAAACATTTAAATGACATTATTTATACTTTTTAATCTTCATGTAAGCATCACAAGTACTTGGATTGGAAGAGGGGCTTTAAGTCATTGGTAACTGTTTTTATAAGCTTGACCCTGGTTCAAACAGATTTTCTGTAAAGTCCCATTTACACGTATTTGGTTCAAGACATCATGAATTTCCATGAATCTAGAGGCAGCAATTAGAAGGCTGGGCAGAGTCATGTGCTGATGGGAATGTGGGACCCACTGAACCTGGTGATGAACGTGGCATCAGCAAAGTTGGACATTTGTTCACTTTTCACTGAAGTCCACACAAATTTCCCACTGATTCTCACCTCAGACAACTCCAAACCATCACCCACCACATCACACCAAGAGCTGCTCCTCTCAGGGAGAGCAGGAAGGGATCTGAACCCTGCCTGCAGTTCCAATATCATCTTTGCCTAACGTGGGTGCCACAGGAATACTGACAATTACAATCCTGGTGAATACACTGCAGAGTCTTTTGGCCTCCTGTAACTATAGGGGAGATATTTCAACACCATCTCAGCAAAGGTTTCTGTAAAAACCCAGGGTCTCAGGAGCTGGAGGCAAAGTGTGTGATACTGATGGCTGATGTGCAGCTACCTTGGAAAGGGCGTGCTGAGAAGCGTTCGCCCAATGTACTTCGCAAAAATATTCCTCCAGAAAAAGCAAGAAGGCAGCAAGCCAGGGCCAAAAAGAGAATTAAGAATAATCTGTTTGAAATATTAATCTGGGCTAAAACATCAGTGCGAAATCCTGAAAATACCTGTTTGTCAGAGGGCCTATGAAGGGGTTGGTCATCAGCTGCACTGTTGCTTTGGAAGCAAACAAGAGACCGACTCGGACGTTCTCATTCAGCAGCTCCTTGTCATCCTTGGGGCAGTCAGAGGGGGCAGGGGTCACACTCACAAGCATCTGCTCTGTCGGGGTCGGCCGCAGCTCCCCGCGCTGGGGATCCCCAGACTCGTTTCCAGTGACCATGGTGGAATTGTCGTAGTAGGAAAAGATGCTGTGAAAATTGTCCATCGTTGCTGAGGGTGGGTTAGGCTTAGTGGTCTGCATTTCTGTGGCATTTTTCTCGTGTTCGATGCTGTAAAGGTAACTGGGAATTATTGGCACTGGAAAAACAAATAGAATACATTGGCATCTTACTATCAGGTTATTTGTAGATGGGATCACCAAGTTGTCTTGCTTGCTTTGCCATTGATCAGGGAATGCAAGGCTTTCCTACAGAGCACATTCAGAAACGCAGAACTGAAAAAGAAATTTGCTCATGGGAAAAAACACACCCATAACTCAGAAGTGCAGTTTAAAAAAAAAGCTTGTTTACATTATTCTTTATTTTTTTTGCCAGCTTTCATAAGATTTCCATAAGGTTTTCTATAAATACATCATTAAGCAAAATATCAGAAGTATCAAAACCCATGTCTGAAGCCTCTTTGTCGCACGTGGTTGCACAAGTCCTCTTATTGGGCTGCAAAAGCATGAATAATGAGAAGAGCATTGGACTAATTATTAAACCAAAATATAAAAAAATACAATAAAAAAGATTTCTAAAATAAACCACAGAAATATTGATAGGTACCAGCCATAAGAAGGAAAAACGTTAACAGACCTATATCAAGGAATCAGAACTAATACGTTGATATTTGCAAGTCTCATTATTTTAAAATTTAAATTGAAAATCATCCAAAGAAACCAGGCTTACATGTTTTAGGATCTTAGCTGAGGTTTAATTGCATTAATATGTATCTCAGACATGAGGATTTCAGAGTTTGCAAAAACAGATGTCAGGTTCATTCATTTTAATACAAGTGACAGAACCACCCCTTCCCATCTTGCATTTCATCCTGAAAAAGCCCAGCCCCTCAAGTCTGCAAATTATAATAATTTCTATGGCTTCTAGCATACGTATTACTAAACAAGTAATAAAATGATAATAATTTTATAAGAAGATGTATTAATGCAAAAAAATTTTCCAAAATCAACCTGCAAAAAAAATAGATATTTTCTAACTAAGGTCTACCTTATGGCATCGACTTTTAACCTGAAACCCCTTCAAGAAATTCAGAAGCTGAGTCTGCAGCATCACCTGGGAGCTGGCTCTGCACACACCAAGCCACTTCCAGGAGAACCATGTGCATTCCTGTGTGTTTGTGTGCACATCCATGAGCCACTGCTTTCTCTGGACCATTTTCTTTCAGTTCATAGAAATATTTGAATATGAGGAGTTCTAAGTCTACCAGTGAAAAATATTCAATTGTCTTATTTGAGTAGATTTCTGAATCTTGACACTGTGCCACTGAAGCCATTAAAAGTTGGATCTTAGACTTTGATCAAAACTTGTATTATTTTATTGAAGTAACTCATGGAAGTGCTTTCCTTAAAACTGTCTTAGATAAATTTCTTATTAACCTATCATTTTAAGACCAGTGTGGGGGAAACAGGAGCTATCACAAGGAAACAGGCATCTCCAATGTTATCTAGCCGCTTGTTTCAGTTGCACGACCACAGGAGAAAAAAATGATGATGAGCTAAAAATACTGTTATCTATCGTTCTATAAAGTATTAGTGGCGTTTCGCAGGAAAAAGAGGGGGGAAAAAGAAAAAAAAAAAAGAAAAAGAGGGGGAAAAGAGTTATTAAGGATCTTTTTATACCGCTCTTTATCTTGCAATTAACATGGAAATAAAGCAAGACTTTGATGTCCACGGCGGCGCGTTCGCGATGCCTGGAATAGAATTCACGGTTAAAACCAGAAGTGAATGAAGCGGTGTTCGCAAACGCTGGGTTCGGGAGCATTCATCCGGCACCAGGGAGCACATCAGCCGCCGGACACCATTCCTGGCACAGCCCGGGGGAGGGCAGGGAGCCCGCTTCACCTACCGACCACGGTGAGCAGCATGTTGTCCAGCAGCAGCGCGATGAAGACGATGAGCAGGATGAGCTTGCGGGACTGGCGGCTCTCCCGCAGCCAGCGGAGCAGCCCCAGCTCGCCCCAAGCCATGCTCCGGCCCC